ACTGAAGTCCATTTTTTCAGTGGGCCAGCGCTGAGTATAAGTCAGTTAGACAGTGCCCTTTGAAAACAAACGCTCCCTGGCCTCTGTGTTTCACATTCAGCACATATTGGGAAAATTTATTCTGTCATCAGAAAATATTTAGAAGGAGGGCCTGCCAGGAGCTCTCTGCTCTGTTTTAATCTTTGGAGGCGCAATGCTGCCTTTTGCCAGTAGGTGACGCCATCTGCAGCTTTAACATCCAAACAGATTTACTGCGGCGGGAGCTGCCCTCTTTGGCAATATGTGTGTATTTCCCCCCAAAAGGCTAATAATAAGCTCTCCAAAAGAAACACACTCATATGCACAAGTGCTTTTTCTTCCTATCTAGAGAGGAAGCACATTTCATAGAACTGCAGAGGGGGAAGGGACGACGTGGATCATTTTAGAGCAATCCACCGCAACGCAGGGATCCTTTGCCCAACGTGGGGCTCGAACTCACGACCTTGAGATTAAAAACCTGGTGTTCTCCTGACTGCCGGAATCTCCTCACAAGCCCAGGGATGAAGAACCTGTCAGCTCTCTCCAGAGGCAGCTAGACTCCAACTCCCATCATCCATTACTGTTGGGCCAGGCTGGCTAAGGATGATGGGATTTGGAGTTCAAAACCACCTGGAGCGGCACTGCATTTAACTTGCATGCTTGTGTGCGGTGCACCAGTAAAAAACCTAATAATAATAATAACGAATTTTTATTTATACCCCGCCCTCCCCAGCCAGAGCTGGGCTCAGGGCGGCTAACACCAATAAAATTACAATAAAACATAATGGGGGAGGGGACAAACAAACAAACAAACAGTTTATTAAAATATGGGTTAAAATACAATTTAAAATGCAGCCTCATTTTAATAGTAGCCCATAAATCAAAACCATGAGGGAAACATAAGGGTCAGACTGAGTCCAAACCAAAGGCGAGGCGGAACAGCTCTGTCTTGCAGGCCCTGCGGAAAGATGTCAAGTCCCGCAGGGCCCTGGTCTCTTGTGACAGAGTGTTCCACCAAGTAGGGGCCAGTACTGAAAAGGCCCTGGCCCTAGTTGAGACCAATCTAACCACCTTGCGACTTGGGACCTCCAAAGTGTTGTTATTTGTGGACATTAAGGTCCTCCATGGGGCACACCAGGAGAGGCGGTCCCGTAGGTACGAGGGTCCTAGGCCGCATAGGGCTTTAAAGGTCAAAACCAGCACCTTAAACCTGACCCTGTACTCCACCGGGAGCCAGTGCAGCTAGTAAAGCACTGGATGAATGTGATCCGGGGCAAGGACCCCGTCTGCACAACGACAAAGGGCAGCTGGACATATAAAGGGCCCAATTACCTTCAGTAGTTTAGGGCTTTCTAAAACCCAAATCTGGCTCTGCTCTTCTTTCTCCCAGTGGCAGGTCGTTCCCCACATCCTGCTCATTGAAACGGATAGGGCAGAAAGAACGGAGGCTGACAGCAGGTGGCGCCAGAGCCCAGGACAGGCCAAGCCAATTATGCAGTTGTTTTGTCCTCATCCTCCTTGCTGAGTTCTACAAGGGCAACCCTGAGGCGAAGGAGGGGAAGCTCCTCTGGACTGGTTGGTGGTCGGATATGCCAGCCTTCACTGCTCTCTCCTGTTTCTAATAAACTCCACCCAATAACTTTGGTTTCTGTCTCTCTGCACCCCCCCCCCCCGCTTTCTTTCTTTTTAAAAAAAAATATTTATACTTTTCAGGTTTATTCATTTCATTAATTTTAACATTTCAAAACTTGACTTCCTTCCCCCTCTTTCTGCAGTTCCTTAAATTTATTTTTTAAATATTTTCTGCGTATCCAAATTCATTTAATTTGCTCATCTGCTTTAAATATATACTCTTATGGTTATTACAATAACCCTGCCAATGTTTTTATCTGTAAATATTCAATAAACCATTTCCACTCTTTTATAAAAAGTTTGTTGTCTTGGTTTCTTATTCTTCCAGTAAATTTCGCCATTTCTGCATGTTTTCCTATCCATTCTTCCTTTGCTGGGACTTCGGCTTCTTTCCATTTTGGGGCAAGTAACATTCTTGCTACATAAATAAATTTCTATACAATTTAGGTTGTTCGGTCTGTATAATTCCTAAAAGAAAAGCTTCTGTGCTTTTTTAAAAAAAGGTTATTTTAAACATCCTTTTCACCATTATATATCATTTCCCAGTAAGCTTAAACCCTACCACATATGATAAAAGGAACCTTCTTTCTCTTTACATTTCCAACACTTATTTGATTTAGATTTATATATTTTTGCCAGTTTACTTGGTGTTAGATACCAACGACATATCATTTTCATATCTCCTGCCCTCTGTTTCTTGCTCTCCTCCACCCATATCTCTCTCTCTCTCTCTCAAAAATAAAATAAAATAAAATTTAAAAGCTCTGATAGCAACTGTCAGCTGCTGGTGTGACCTCTGGGTTGTGACTCACAACTGGGATTCATCAGTTTACTCTTCTGTAATGCCTCACACTTTGCAAAGTAAGGCATTTTATGGCCATTTCTGCATCCAACACAGGACAAGATTATTATTATGCGTTTGGTTTGATTAATTTAAACCCCCGTCTTTTCTCCCTGTTCCAGTTTACAAAAATAGCAAAATTATTTATTACTGAAAGAGCCGACAACGGAAGCCAGCGGCGGAAGCACTTTTGAAGCAACTCCATCAAAAATATGATGAAAGCCGGTGCGCTTTCTGTATTCTTCTCAACGTACAAAACCAGAGAGGGATTGTGTAGAATTATGGGAACAGTCTCTAAAGGCCGGAGGCCTTCTTAGGCAGGAATGTCTTAATCCTGCAGATTAAGGGAGGGAGTCTCTGCTCAAGTCCAGATTTGCAGCTATGGCTTCCACCAAAGAATCATGGGAACTGTAGTTTGCCCAGGGCACGGATGTCACTGAGCTACAATTCCAAGCGCCCTGGGCAAGCAACATTTCCCAGGGTTCCCCACGACTTTTAAAGAGGCACCAGAGTGCTTTGTGTTTATGTATGCAACAACGGCCGCTCGAATATTGCTAGCCCAACACTGGAAAGAAGAAAATGTCCCCACTATGGAAGATTGGCAAATTAAGTTAATGGAATATGCGGAAATGGCTAAACTAACAGGGAAACTTAGAAATCAAGACGCTAACAAATATAAAAAAGAATGGGAAATGTTCACTGCACATTTACAAAAGCATTGTAAGGAAGTGAATTTTTAAAAAGCAGGATTTTAAAAAAACACTTGCAATGTTATGGATAATGTTTAAATTTGGAGGTACGGTAATTAGAGATAAAGACTTTATTGACATGCATAAATGAAGATAACAAAGGAACCAGGGGAGGGGAGGGAAGTAATCCCATAAAGTGGATTTAATATTAAATATGTATACAGTTGTTTTAAATCAGGCATCCCCAGACTCAGCCCTCCAGCTGTTTTGGGACTACAACTCCCACCATCCCTAGCTAACAGGACCAGTGGTCAGGGATGATGGGAATTGTAGTCCCAAAACATCTGGAGGGCAGAGTTTGGGGATGCCTGTTTTAAATGTTTCATTTTATGTTCTTTTATTTTTCTTTAAAGTAACGATTTTGCTTATTGTGAAAATTAATAAAAAAGAAAAGAAAAAAAGAGAGTGCTTTGAATGGATGGTGTGTATGTGACTGACCTGTGTGTGGCGACAGGTGAGGCCAAGGACAAAATAGGACCATCAGACCAGCTCCACATTCAGAATCGGAGAGTGGTCTGGCAGCCGGCTCGTTCACCAGCCCTCTTGAAGGGGCTGCATCTTCCAGGAGCTTCAAGCCTCACCTTCTTTCTACTTCTCGGGCCTGCTCTGAAACTCCTGCCAAGCACTGCTGTGACTTAAAAGGTAAAGGGACCCCTGAGCATTAGGCCCAGTCGTGACCGACTCTGGGGTTGCGGCGTTCATCTTGCTCTATAAGCCAAGGGAGCCGGCATTTGTCCGCAGACAGCTTCCAGGTCATGTGGCTATCATGACTAAGCCGCTTCTGGCGAACCAGAGCAGCGCACAAAAATGCCATTTACCTTCCCGTCGGAGTGGTACCTATTTGTCTACAGTGAGGGCGGAAAGTATTTGATCCCCTGCTAAATTTGCCCATTTACCCTCTGACGAAGAAATGACCGCTCCATAATTTTAATGGTAGGTTTAGTGCATCTGTGAGAGACAGAATAACAACAGGAAAACCCCCAGAAACACAGAAGACAAAAGTCATTATAATGCACATCAATCTCTGACTTTTGTCTTCTTGCAATAAAATCATAATAGGGGAAAAAAGAGAAAAAACCAATTTAAAATACAGGTTAAAATGCAATTTAAAATGCAGAATAATAATAACAGACAACGATAGAAACTAAACACTTGTAGTTTAATGGTAAATTTTGGATATAACGGAGACGTAAAAGATTTGCGTTATTATAAAAGATGCAGGAGGAAATGACTAACAATAGGACCCACAAAGGGGAGGAGATTCTTTGGAATCTCGTTTGTTATGTGTGTTGGATATGTGATTGTGAAACTTTAATTCCAAAAACCATATATATTGTTTCCTTTCAGATATATATGAAAGGAAACAATGGCCACCTCTGAAACCCCTCTTCCGCGGCGCCAGCCCCTGCGCCTTCTTCCCTCTGCACGCGCTCAGAGGCGCTCTCGCCCGGGGTTCCGTCGCCTTCCCGCTGGCGCCCGGCGGAGGGCGCCCCGCTTGGCAGGCGGCGCTGCGGCTGCGGCGGGAGAGGCGGGGAGGCGCGGCCGGGGCGGGGGGGCGGAGGCGGAGCCGGGCGGCGAGCGGCGTCTCGGCCGGAGTCGAGCAGGACGCGCCGAGCCAGCCGGGCGCGCAGCAGCCGAGAGCCGGGGCCGGGAGTGGCGGAGCAGCGCCAGGCGGTCCGGACGCCCCGCGCCGCCGCCGCCCTTGCGGGCAGGGAGGGAGGGAGGGAAGGGTGGTGGGTGGGTGGTGGGAAGGGGGTGCCCCCCCACCCAGGGGTGCTGCCTGCCGTCGCGCCATCCGCGCGCCCCCCTCTCTCTCCGCGCCAGCCGAAGCTCTCCATGCCCCCGCACGACTGATCCGGCGCGCCTCGGAGCCGGGGGAGGGGGAGGCTGGACGGAGACCCCCCCGCAGCGCCACCTTTCTCCGCCGCCGCCCCCCCGAGCGAAGCCGGCCCTGCAGGACCTTGGACAGAAGACGCGCCGTCGGCCGAGGGAGCGCGCACTGCGGTGGGTACCAGCGGGAAGGGGGAGGCTGGGATACAGGGCGCCATCGCGAGCATCCCTTCTCCCCCCTCCCTTTGAAGGGGATGCAGCAAAAAACATGGGGGGGGGGGGCGGAGGCAGCGTGTGTGTGTGTATACACGCCAGGATGGGTCGGAGGAAAACATTGGCAGGAGGAAAGGTGTCTTCGGGAAAGATGGGGCGGCAGGATGAATGGTTTATTGTTGTTGTTTTAAATTGCATTTGTATAGCACCGTTCCTCTGAAGATGCCAGGGTGGGTCAGGAGAAAATGAGAATAAACCACACACACACACACGCATCTGCTCAACGGCACATGCAAGGCACAACCGTTTCCAGCCCCGCAGCTGCTTTGCAAAGGGTCAGCATTCGCGACGCAGCAAGTTGCGCGTCTGTAATTATATGAAATGCATGACTGATGCCCGTATAATGTGCTCAGGCAGAGCTTCCCCAGGAGTGGGCAAAGTCTGTTGCTTTGGAGAGGCATGTGCACCTCTGACATCATGCTGCTGACCAAACGGGCTCTGATCTGGCCCACCGGAGGTGCTGCCGTGATCCATCCAACACACCAGCGAGAGGCTTTTGTTTTGTTTTTTTGCTGCAACGGGATAATATGGCTACCTCTAGGGAACGCACAGGGTTTAGCACATGGCTGCGTGTGCAGAGCTTGCGCAGGGGGTCGTACACAGGCTTTGGGTCTGCTGGAGTAGGGCAGGGTGTCAGGCCATGTCGGTAAAAATAAAAAAAGGCGGAGGGAGAGACCCAGCAGCCAATGTGTATCTGAGGTGGCCTTAAAGATTTGGGAGGGGAGGGAAGAAAAAGAGAGGGATGCAGTGGAAGCCAGAAAATAATGCCAGAAAAGGATGGATGGAGACAGGAAAGGGAGGGGTGAGAAGGGGTTTCTGCACCCTCAGGGAAAGGGTGGGGGGTGAGATTCTGTGTGCTTGGGAGAAAAAAGGACCTCTGCTCTTGCTTATCTGAACCGTTTTTCCTTTGGCAGGTCTGAACTGAATCTGTAAGGCTGCGGCATAGGGGTGCTTGAAGCAGAGACCGCTGCCCGTGCCCAGCCAGCAACCCCAAAGGTGGCAGGCTGACGCCCAGCCCCCCTGTTCCGTTCGCCTCCCTCCCTCCTCTGCTACTTGCGCCATGGGTACCGTCTTGTCCCTTTCCCCCAGTTACCGGAAGGCGACCCTCTTTGAGGATGGCTCGTCCACGGTGGGCCATTACACGGCCGTGCAGAACAGCAAGAACGCCAAAGACAAGAGTCTCAAGCGTCACTCCATCATCTCGGTGCTGCCCTGGAAGCGGATCGTGGCCGTGTCGGCCAAGAAGAAGAACTCCAAGAAGGTCCAGCCCAACAGCAGCTACCAGAACAACGTCACGCACCTCAACAACGAGAACCTGAAGAAGTCCCTCTCGTGTGCCAACCTCTCCACTTTTGCCCAGAACCAGGGCGCCCAGCCGCCGGCGCCCAACAGCCAGATTTCCACCTCCAAGAGCAACCTGTCCTCCGTCAAGAAGACCCCCCACCCCAATGCCAACTCCACCGGCACCCCCAAGAGGGTCATTGTCCAAGCTTCGACCAGCGAGCTGCTTCGGTGCCTGGGCGAGTTCCTCTGCCGGCGATGCTACCGTCTGAAGCACCTATCGCCCACCGACCCGGTCCTCTGGCTTCGGAGCGTTGACCGGTCCCTGCTCCTCCAAGGCTGGCAAGACCAAGGCTTCATCACCCCGGCCAACGTGGTGTTCCTGTACATGCTTTGCCGGGACGTCATCTCTTCCGAAGTGGCCACGGACCATGAACTCCAAGCCGTCTTGCTCACCTGCCTCTATCTCTCCTATTCCTACATGGGCAACGAGATCTCCTACCCTCTCAAGCCCTTCCTGGTGGAGAGCTGCAAGGAGGCCTTTTGGGATCGCTGCCTCTCCATTATTAACCTCATGAGTCCCAAAATGTTGCAGATCAACGCCGACCCGCACTATTTCACACAGGTCTTTGCCGACCTGAAGAACGAGAGCAGCCAGGAAGAGAAGAACAGGCTGCTCATTGGCCTGGACCGGTGAGCTTTCGGGCTCCCTTGCCGCTGGGATGAGGGGGGAACATTTTTTCCTTCTTTTTATGTTGTTTTTGTTTTTGAAACAAACCGGGACACAAAAGGTGGGCATGGGCAAGGCTGAGAGAGGACACTTGAGCCTCCGTTCTTCGGCTTGGCTTTTTGGGATCCAAAAAACAGACACATTTCGAAAAGGATAAGTGGTGAATTCGGGCCTCGCCTGTCTGGTTTTCTGTGGCTTCCTCTCGCCCTTAATGTCAACAAGGAGGGGGCGAGCAGGTGGGGCTTGGAGCCAAGCGCAACGCTGGCAAGACCACGGCGTCCCTTCGCCTCTTGGCTTTTGCCTCAGAGATCCTCAGCCGGGGAGGGGAGATCCATCTTGTACTTCTTAATTCCTCGCCGCGGATTGCGGAGGTGGCGAAACAGCATTTACTGTCCTCCAGACGAAAGCGGGAGCCAACCCAGCGCATGTTGCAGAGCCTGGCGTTCTGGAAAAGGGATCAAAGGACGGGATCCACCTCCTCTTTTTCTTTCCACCATCTTGCGCACTCGCCTGAGCGAAATGACACCAAAACAGTATTGGCCTCCGGAAAGGGACCCTTATTGCATGGAAACACGTGGTTACACCCTAGCAGAAGTGGGGAAGGAAAAGTCAGGCAGGCCCTTTGGCATGTCTCCCCTCTCGCCGCCTTTCCCTGGGGGAGGCAGCCCCTTTGGTTTACATCCGTGCCAAAGGGCAAAGGTGAGATTTGGGGGGTCATTTCCTGTGACAGTACCCAAAGGGGAAAAAAAGTCAAGGTAGCCAATATGGAATGGGTGGCTGAGATGGAACGGGCACTCACCTAGTATTAATTTTGCTGGCAAGTTATTTAGGTGGACGTTTGATACATTTTGAGTTTTATTTTTTATTGCACAGTATATAAACTGGCTGCTTCAGATCAGAGTGACTATGATTCTGTTGAGGCCTTCTGAGCAGCTGGAATAATGGTCCCTTTTCAAGATAAACCTTTCAGGAAAATGTAAGGCTGGTGCCAGTCGCTTTGTTGTCCAGATGATTCGGTGCTGAACCCCGATATACACCTGATATTCTTTGTTACAGATTCCTCCCACCCCATCCTGAAATGGAAAATTCCTTGGCATTTATTTAGCCAGCCAACCATCTTAATATTTTATGAGGGGTGGGGCGGAGGGAACGTACCAAGCGGGGAAAGAATGATGACTATGTAATAATAAAGAGATCCATAGCAAACACTACAATTTCAGGAACAGATTGTGACTAAAGAAGCTTGGGAATATAAAACTGAAGCATATACAGAATAGACACACATTTAGTATATTCTGAGATTTATATTGCTTTTTTAGTCTCTAAAAAAAAGCATGCTGGCACCTAATATTTTTTCAGTATCCCTTCCCCCCACATTTCTGGCACTGAAACATTTGATGTAGTCCTCTAAAAAAAATTATTCCGGTGCTTAGGAATTTAATTTATTTTGCTTAGCCCTCTGGTTCTCAAAAAGGAAGAGGTTAAAAAATCTTTCTGATCAGCAAGCTTCAGGGATGGTAAATGTATATAGAGAAGAGTGGGGGGTGGGGGTGGGGGCGGTTGGGGAGGGAGGGAGTGCAACAACACCGAAATATACACTGAATTTTGCTCAGTTAATGACATGCCGAATTAAATGCCAATAGTCCCGGGTCTAGGATTCTGCTGAAGATGTGAACTTCCTTTACAATGGAGGTCATCTTCTCTGTATTTAAGTTCCCGTGGGACAACAGAGGGGACAAAGACGCTCAGACACTGTCGGGTGTTGAGGTAGCTATTGGACAAAAGGCCAAGTTCAAAGCGTTCTGGGCTCCATCTCTGATCCTGGTGTTATGGATGCTGGCATTCTGGCAGAAGGAAGGCTTGTCTTGTACTTAACGGTTGTTGAATAGGGTAGCTTGCAATTAACTTCAAAGCAGCAGAGCACTATTTAAATTAAAGAAAATAATAATGTAAGAGGAACAGGAAAAAAAAGCTGTGAAATTTCAAAAGGAAAAAAAAAGGTCTGAGCTGAGAGGCTTTGAGGTAGACAGGAGCTGAGATTTTGTGAATATGAAACGGCTGCTGGGTTTGCTAAGCAGGTCCTGCCATCGCCTCCGAAAGCTAGGCCGAAATCTGAGCCATTCAAAAGCGAGACACTGACTGTTAAGCGTATGTTTTGGGTTCATAGCGGGAAGGAGAGCCTTAGAGTCGCGAGGGAGGGCTTTGGGTCCTTCGCAGTGAATGGGGAATCGGGGGGTGTACAGATCTCCATTGCATGACCATTTTTGCTGCTCTAAAATGGATGGCACATATTTCATTTCAGTCCCCCCCTCATCATCAACTTGGGCGTTCCTTGCTCAGCTTCTTCGCTGGCACCTGGAACACCTTGAAGACTAAATTCTAGCCTGTCTCTGGATAAGTAATTCTCCTAAACAACCCCCTTCTTCATATGCTTTCCTTCTTTTCTATTTAATATAAAAGGGAAATTATAGTTCTTTAATCAACATGGTTCTGGAAGGTTGCGGCTGCAGTCCTATGCATGCTTACCTGGGAGAAAGCCCCAGTGAACAAAGCAAGGCTTACTCCAAAGTAAGCAAACCATGGGTTGCATTGCAGAGGGAGCTAACAACCGTATGTGCATCCCTTGGTGCGAAAACCTGTCTTGTTCTTTTTAGGAGTCCTGGATGCAGTGTATTTACTGGGATTTTTGTAACAGCAAACAAAAGATCAACTGATATACTTGAGTACATAAGAGCAATGAATGGGGTTTTAACGTGCTGCTATACAAAGCGAATACTTTTTAGAACAAAATCTATGCTGATAAATACAAAGGGGTGTGGGTGGGAGGGAAAAAGATCTTTCTTTTGTTCTTTCACCATTGCTTTCCAGTGACGTTTTTTGCATGCCAAAAGCATCTTTTGACAAAAGGCAAAACCTTAGAACAGCTGATTGTAAAAACAAAGAAGCAAAATAAATCGCTGTGCACAGATTTCAAGCACATCACCCCCCCGCTCCCCACCGCTGTCAAAACAGGCCCTCCTACCCTTAGGTCATTCAAATCGATATATTTTCATCTTGAGACTTCTAGACCTTTTCTAATCTTAACTGTACACAGTTCTTAAAGAGTTCAGCTGTGTTCTAAACCGTTGTTACTACTTCTTTTTTTTCAAAAGGAAAAAAAAAACTGAAAGAAAAAAATGTGCCATTTTTTTCACTTGAAATTCTGCATACCTGTACATTTTATGTGTGGGGTGGGTTGGGGAGGGGAGAAGAGGAGAAAGAAAAAAAACAGAAAACCTGCTAAATTCTACATGTATGTGTATGTTAAGGTTTTTGGGGTTTTGTTTTTTTTTAGTGTGCAATCTCTTCTGTAGATATTTGTTGACCAAAATTGGTATTATTATTATGATTATTGCTTATTATTACTTAAATTAATTTATAAATTGTCCTTTTTGTATGTATGTGTATTATAGTGAGTTTGTAAGTATGTGAGGTTTATAAATATGACAAGACTGTCACAGAGCTGTGTGTGCCTGTAACTTAACGCCCCCCCCCTTATTTTTATTTATTTTTGTACTGTGCTGATTAAAAATAAAATGCACTGACCATCCATTACATGATGGTTTTCAGAGCTTTATTTTATATATATATATATATTAAAAAACATATGCTGTTGTATGATGGCAGGAGGCGATGATAGACAATGAAGACAATTGTAAATAACAGAGCCATCGGAATTTAATTGGATTTGCCTTGTTGAGAGCGGTTTAACGCAAGAGGCTCTTAAATCAAGGTTAAGTCAGTATGGTTCACGGGTTCTCTCCTGGTTGCCACGGAGGCAATATCCTGCAGAAACTGAGTAGGCAGAACGAAGTTCGCTGGACGACAACATCATGACAGATGGTTGCTAGGATTTTTACAAAAGATGCTGGCCTAGGTAGACTTTGATCTGATTCACCAATAGTACACACTTAGAATCACTTAAGACTACAAACCTGTGTCCCCTTACCTGGTAGTAAAGGTAAAGGTAAAGGGATCCCTGACCATTAGGTCCAGTCGTGACTGACTCTGGGGTTGCGGCGCTCATCTCGCTTTACTGGCTGGGGGAGCCGGCGTACATCTTCTGGGTCATGTGGCCAGCATGACTAAGCCGCTTCTGGCGAACCAGAGCAGCGCACGGAAATGCTGTTTACCTTCCCGCTGGAGCGGTACCTATTTATCTACTTGCACTTTGACGTGCTTTTGAACTGCTAGGTGGGCAGGAGCAGGGACTGAGCAACAGGAGCTCACCCCGTCGCGGGGATTCGAACCGCCAACCTTCTGATCGGCAAGCCCTAGGCTCTGTGGTTTAACCCACAGCGCCACCTGTGTCAGCCCCATTAAATCTAGTGGGACTTGTTTCTGTAAGCAGACCTGCATAGGATCTGCACTGTAAAACACAGACTTGTTCTCCCAACTCCCATTGTCCCCAGCCAAGCTTTTTCAGGGTTGATGGGAGTTGTAGTCCACCTGGAAGGCTTCACTATGAAGAAACCTCAAATATGCCCTTGTGTGCTTTTCACATTCAGAACACCCACCAGCGGACCCTCGGGATTCCAGTTTTTAAAAAGCAAAAAAAATAAAAGTAGATCATGTATGGCTGAAGTCACCCCTCCATATTGTAGTTTTGAGGGGCAACGTTGTCTTGGAGGGATGGGGAGACAGAAGAGGAAAACAGGTTGGAAAACAGGGAGGGCAATTCCTTCTTTGGAGCTAGTCTCTCACTGGGAAGAGAAAGAAAACCAAGCTTTGTGAATGGCATTCCTGGGATCACATGGTGCACGAGTCACAAGGAGATTCAGAAGAGGAAGTGAGTCTTGTTCATTTGCTAGAGTCCAGCTAATGAGATTTTTAAAATTATTTTTAAGGTTCAGAACTAAACAATAATGCAAAGTTCTTAAGCACATTTGGCCTCTGAGGGTGCTTTCCTTCTTCATGAGCTCACAAGCACTAGCTAATACATTTTCGACATGGGCTTCCTTTCTGGACTGGAGTTATTCTTCCTTAAGGTGACAATGAAAGCTAGTTTAAAAAAAAAGGTGATCAAGAAACGGGAAGTAAGTTAACATTGAGGCTGCTGCTGGCATTCCCTCTGTGTTTGAGGGAAGCCTTTTATCCGAAATAGAGACGTTTGTATCATGTTCGCCCTTTTACAATAAAGGTATCGGGAAACACGGTGTGTATTCCAAACGAAACAACTTGCCGTGATTTCAGCAGGAGTTGTAAACTTTAAAAGCCCCATTGAGTCTGCAGCCTACATATCTTCCATTGAGAGCAACTGGATTTAAAATTGCTTACATTTCGCTGGATCCTATCCATTATTTCTTAACCCTTAGGCTTTTTTTAAAAACAACAACATTTATTGGTTTATAAAAAAATACAAGAACCATTAAACACTTAGCAGCAACAAATGGTGTTTGTTCTATTCATTGTCAGACATTGGGGAAGTGGCTTCCTTTGGCCGTGGATAAGCAGAACAAAGCAAAAATAGCCTCTTACCATTTAAAGAGATTTTAATGATCACAGCAAAAGAACAAAGAGTCCATTATCGGAGTAAAGGTGCTCCCAGTTAAGGTTTACACCCACTTCCCTTCCGAGTCACCCTCGTCACTTCCTCGTCTTGCAACCTGATCTCGCAACCACTTTGCTTTCTGTCCTGCCACATGTGCTCGTCATGACCTTGGGCTGGGTGGATGTTGGCTTTCCAGTGAGAGTGTGTCCATTGACTCTCTCTCGTCCAGTTCTTCATCTCCTAGCTGTTCATCACCCAGTTCTTCCCAACTTTTGTCTTCTTGAACTATGCGCCTTTGCAAACCACTGTTCCAAATCTATACTGTCCTCCTGCTCCTACGTAGATTCAGGATCCTGAATTGGGAGCAGGGGGAGGGGGAGGCACCCGCCGTTCCTCATATGTACAGTCCACTTCAGCATGGTAGCTAACATCCATTGACTTACACATCCATTGACTTACACTTACACATTACACATAAGCCTTACATATTCAATGCCTTCCTTACCATAACCTCTCCACTGAGAAGATTGAGCAGTTCGTCTAACAAGGGCTTCATTTGGTGGTCATTAACATAGTTAAAAGGCTCCGTGTTTCTTGGAAGATGTCTCTTTATGTTATGCCTTTAATCACTCTCCTGTGTCTGGCTAGATGCTCAGACATTGCTGTATCCCAGATATTATTTTCCAACACCTTCAGGGGCATTTCAGTCTGGGTTTCCCTTGTTTACTGTACTGACTGTTAATTTTTGCACCCATCTACAATCCCTGTGGGACGTGGGTGGCGCTGTGGTCTAAACCACTGAGCCTCTTGGGCTTGCCGATAGGAAAGTCGGCAGTTCGAATCCCCACAACGGGGTGAGCTCCCGTTGCTCGGTCCCTGCTCCTGCCAACCTAGCAGTTCGAAAGCAGGTCAAAGTGCAAGTAGATAAATAGGTACCGCTCTGGTGGGAAGGTAAACTGCGTTTCCATGCGCTGCTCTGGTTTTACCAGAAGCGGCTTAGTCCTGCTGGCCACATAACCCGGAAAAACTGCAGACAAACGTCGGCTCCCTCGGCCAGTAAAGCGAGATGAGCACCGCAACCCCAGAGCCGTTTGCGACTGGACTTAACTGTCAGGGGTCCTTTACCTTTACAATCCCTGTCTCAAACCAACTGGTGAAGAAGAAAATGCCAATTCATCTATATCAGGGACGTCCAACTCCCAAGAGACTGCAATCTACACAAAGAATAAAAAACTGGCAGTGATTTGGGAGGCTCAAGTCAAAGTTGTTGAGCTTTTCTTTTTTTAAGGGAGGGAAGTTTTGTGCTTTTTCCCCAAATTTTTTTTATTGGTTTTCACAATATTATAAACAAACAAACAAACAAACAAACACACCAGACAAACAAACATAAATCATAGCCTTATTGAAAATTACACTTATTAACTTTGTTAAGTGACTTCCTCGCTTCCCCTTGGTTGAATTTCATTGCATGTCCTTTTAACGGTTTTCCAAATCCCTTATGAAATTTAACTTAAACATTAACATCCTTAAATCTTCACCTTATGGAATTAAACATATTAATTAATCACTTAACATAAATAAAATCCTAAGCCAATTAAGTATCTGCAAGCTATTTTCAATTAATTTAACTTAACAAATTTAACTAGATAATCATTAAATTTATTCCACTCTTCCTGATACTCCTCCTCCTTCTGGTCGCGGACTCTTCCGGTTAGGTCGGCTAGCTCTGAAAAATCCATCATCTTCATCTGCCATTCTTCTATTGTTGGTAATTCTTGGGAAGGGAGGGAAGTTTTGGAGAGGGAAGTGAAGAAGTGGAGGGTGGGGCGAAGGGGGCAGGGCTGGATGCTCTTATGCCACCGCTAACGAAAAGGAGCCCGTGGTTGACAGCAATCAAACAGAACCTCCCAGGGATTGACTACTCAATCCTGATCGACCAGTTGGACAACCCTGATCTATATGGGATAACACCTAGCATAGTTAGCAAGAAAGAGAACCAAATCTCCAAAGGTCCATGGGACCTTGCTATGTACCGTATTTTTTTCCTGTATAACATGCCCCCGTGTATAAGACGCCCCCAATTTGGGGGGATTTAAAAATAAGAAAATGGGTGAGGGGGTTGCCTAGAGTTGTTCAGCTTTTGGAGGGGGAGATTGCCTATAATTGTGGAGCTTTTTTTTGAGGGGGATTGCCCAAAATTGCTCACCAATTGCACAATCGTCAGCCTGCTTGTCGCCTTCTTTGTTTCGAAACTCCTTGTTCTTGATCCCTTGAGTCATGCGCACTTTAACAATTTTCCAAATACTGCCCTATATCCCTCTCCCCTCATACCCATTACTTCCCTTCACCCATGTGCAATCTTCTCTACATAATATTATTTCTTTGTGCTTCCCAAATACAAAGAGAGAGCATTATTGGGTATAAATGATACTTCTTTTATTTATTGCAATGAATGATGTAAACAAAAATACATTTCAATTATAACAAGGGTGCTTGCCCACATTTCTATATAAACTACATTTAAAAATGTTCATTCCATTATTCCCTCAGGCTTAAAAATCAAACATACAATTAAGGAATAGTTAATTTATAGATAAAACCGAGAAAATCTCTCTTTTCTCTCACTCACGCACATACACACAACAGAAAAGGCACAAATACTGTATATTCATTTAAATCGAGACAAATACTTCATAGCACGCGACATAGCCAGTCTTACAGATTTGGAGAGACTTCCTTATCACACGATTTGTTTATTTATTTTGCATTTCTTAAATTTCTAAACCACCCTTCATCCGAGGATCGGAGGGCCGGTTTCTGTCATCATTCAAATGCAGCAATTATGCCGGGACACCGTATGAAAGTGCTAATTAAAAAGTTTCCATGGCTAATTTGGCTGCTATGAAAGTGAGAGCTGGAAGGCTTTTGAGTAATTAACAGAGAAGGAGAAGAAGACTCTGGGGTGGGGATAGGTCCGTTTCGCTACTGGCAACAGGGAAGAGTGCAAACTTTTGGTCGGGTTTACAAGATGGGCCAGGACCAACCTGAACGCCGTTCAGCATAGATGTGCCTGACATTCATTGGAACGAACGCAGGGATGGCTAATGGACTTCATACATGCCATAAGCGGATAAAGACTTCATATGGTATTGACCACCCCAGCCTGTGGGCATCTCTACCGAAAAGTACTTTAAAATGTTAAAAGGGTGAGATCTTGCCACGTCCAGGCTAGCCATAGAACAAGCAAGGAAAGGGACCTAGATGGTGGTCCCCTTCTCTGGAAAGCTGGACCACGAAGATGGGGAAACAGCACAGCCAGAATGGCTGGGAACTGTGTAATAAGGACTCTGTCCATCAATCTGATGGTGGTGGGGACTTGCTCCCCAGGAACAAGCCAGTTTGCTCCACCACCC